CCCCCCCGCTCTTAACCTATCGTGCGCACACTTTATAACAGGGTCTGACCTGCAAACAAGGGTCAAGGTATGCGGATGGCCGAGGGAAGAGAGTGGCATGGGGACGAGCTGGCTTGCTTGCCTTTCCGATAATTGCGTGTCAATTATTAATTCCAGTTAACATGGCAGAACGCTGGCAACTTGCAGTCTTTTGATGAAATGGGCACCTGGGGATGTCTGAATTATTGTATGTATATCCATACCTGGTCGCGTAACTACTTCATTCCCACACCATTCGGCCTCCAATACCACTTCTTGGTGTACACAGTATTCCCTAGCCGCATCCTGACCCTTTAACCCTGAGTGATCATGACCGAGTTGTGTTCTTCCAGTAGGTGAGTTGAGATCATGCGACATTAGGTACATGAACACGGGTAATAGCAAGTCAAAGGTCATTCAGACCGGCTTTGGGTTTGTGGGTATCAGTTAGTATTTTCCTTTCCCTTTTTTCTTCATCCAGTATGTCGCCACGCCTGCTGAAATAGCAATAGTTAAGTGAACGAATTGAACATAGAATCAAGATGTGATAAACAAAGTTCGAAATGCTTGTACTGAGTAGATGAGCCAGTACTTTCTCAACGATAATGAGTGTTCACATTTCATTAGGGCTTTTCGACTGCAAAACGTTACCAAGTAGTCTAGCTATGCATGCAATACCTTGAGCTCTCGGACTCACCCATTCAATTTTAATATGGAGAGGGATGCGGGAGCGAGTTATGTCTATAGCCCCGACACAAGTGGGATGGTGACTTTGTTTGCATCAGCCTATACTTCTTCAACTATGGGCACAAGTTCATGCAACTTGTCCATTGAACCTAGTTAATTCAATGGAATTGTTACATAAGTAGTGAAGAAAATACTGGCCAAATGGACTAATATGATAGAAGATCAGGGTCACACATTAGGTGGTGTGGTGTCGGCCAGACTCTATCCAAGTTTCCTGCAACGCAGAGCTCATCATTCCTTTTTCTGCTAATACCTATTCGATAGGATAAATGTAGTGGGACTTGTGAATGAAAATGATTTATTATGGATATTATATTGCCCAGCAATCCAAATTAGTGATG